CCACACACTGCAGTTTTAGTTCAGAGGCTTTGAACTAAATCTCAGTTCAGAGGATTTGAACTAAAGTTTTTCGTGACATTTACGCGACCTCCTGTTATACATAACGTTCTTAAACTTGTACACTTCGACAAAAAATAGACTCTATACATTATTTGAAAAGAAATATGTAGCTTTAGATGCCGAAGTAATTACAGATTTGATATTCCCAGACCCGAATCAGGCAAGATTAATTATTTGTATAAATGCGATAAAAATTTGTTCCCCAATGTTATTATCAAATATTGAGTAAAAAATAAAGTAAAAGTTTTTTTATTTTTATTCTAATATTAGATTTTTATGAAGTTAATGAATGTTGTGTCTTCATTTTTAATTCGAAGATAGAAAAGAACTAAATTATTGTACTGAAAGAAATCAAAGTCAGGATAATTTTTTAATCAGTAAAGAGGTTATGGGGTGATTAATGAATACATTGAAATTATAAATTTAACTGAATTATTTGTTTATAAATACAATGAAAATGAAATGCAATAATAAACGTTGTGCTTTTAAGTTTCAAAAATTACATTTATTTAAAAACTGCTTAGCATGAATCTAAATTCCTGATTACATTCTTTTTTACTGGTTGAATTAAGTGGAAGCTTGAAAAGGTCTATATTAGAACTTTTAAAACTATTGATTGAGATCCTATTTCGGGTCGCGAAATTATCTTTTGGGCATTTGCTCATATATGTCTAAACGACTATTTCCTTTTACATAATTATGTGGCAAGAGAGTAGCCTCAATTTGAGCTTTTAATGTTAATTTAAATTTTTTGTATATTTTATATATATTCTATATATATATAAAAAAGAAAGTAATTCATTTACCCAAAAAATTCAATGTAAAAAATCATTTATTTATTGCTTTTTTATTGTACAATTTTAAAATGGAAGTAGATTTTTTTTAAACTCACTGTGAAAAAAATGCTTATCTAAAACAAGAATATTTACCGTGTTTTAGTCTCTATGTGAGTACCAAAAAGCTCGGTAATTTTAATTTTGGTTAAGTAATAATTTTGGTAAAATTAACAATAAAATATAGTTTTGTAATGTGCGATAAAATTTGGTAAAACTGGTAAAATTTGGTTATTGTTTCATGATATTTTAGAACATGGCATTAAAATGTTTATTCGGTTGCATTCACATCTCAGTCTCGTATTTTTTACTAAATGTGTGGTAATTCAATAACTGTAACTAAAATTATGAAAATCGAAATTTCTGGTAAACCGTTACCATATGAACGGAAAAAGTACCAAATGAATGTTCGTAAATAAATAATAAAATAATAAGATATTTTGAAAAATTATATTTTCTATGAAGTTATGTCTGGATAAGAGAGTTTTGCGATTGCGTGCAAAGTTCTTTTGATTCGCTTAAAAATTTAATTACCAATTGGCGACTTTGAAAAAAAAAATTATGAAGCTCAAACTGTAACTCTCTTTCATTGCCAAAATTATTGGAACCATGTTTTACAGATAGCTGCCACACCCCATATTCAAGTTCGACGAAAAAAAAGCCATGTTTTATTATAGGAAGTTATTTTAATTTTATTTATTTTTGAACTTAAAGTAAAGTCAGCTATAATTAATTAACATATTTAAGTTTATCATGTAAAACCACAAATATTGTATTTGAATATTTATAGTTCTAGAGGCTAAATACGATTATTAGAGGAGAAGCTATTGTGTTTCGGTTTTTGTTCTGCACGCCATATGCGGTTAAGAATTTTTTTTCTTCCTTTCATAAAAATTATGCTGACAATAGTATCTCTTTCAAAGTTCGTGAAATTGTTTTCCTTCTTCTAATGTTCCTGATTACAAAAGCATTCACAATAAGTATTTAATGATTTTAAAATATATTTTCTGCAATAGGTTCGATTTAATGAAAATAACCGCTATAAGCAAATGGAGCATTTTTTGAAAATATAAATATTGTCATCAATTACATATATTTCTGTATAATTCTTAGTTTCTTTCCATCGTTGATTTCCAATGCCGATTCTGTTAAAGGTATTTTATACTTTATTTAATCCGTCGTTGAACAACCAACCCAATTTTATGTTTACGACTACTAATGCTCAAATCCGTAACCTTGTAGTTTTGAACCCAATCCAAAAGACAAGGGAGCTTCTGGATCAGGTATTGAGAGAAATTTGCCTTCGTGGAGGACTTTTTGATGGAACTAACCCGCATTTGCGTTACAAGGTGATTCAAACTATATTTCAAACAAATTTCAAACTATTTCAGAAGTTTTTATTTTAATATCATTAGACAAAAACAAGCCCATTATTTTCGAGAAATAATCATTCACTTAATTATGAATAGAATAAAATCAAGTTAAGTTCGAAAAAAGAAATATTGGTAATTATTGTTTTCATTTTTCTACATCTTATTTAAATCTTCTTAGTAATTTGATTTTTCTAAAGCTTCCAATTAGGAAGTTAATTGAAAACAAATTCAAACTTTGCGGAGTTTCAATAGCTTTTTTTTGCACTTGCGTTTGTTTAATTAAAGTTTTATTTCAAAATAATGAACGGATTTTCTTTTCTAACCAGAATGTTTATTTGCTGAACAGATGAAGTTAAATAGTAGAAAAAGATATATATATATATATATATATATATATATATATTTACATAAATTTCTTAAATGAATATAATGGCTAATTGAAGAAAAAGTTTAAAAAAATATCATAAATGCATTGGCTATTTTTCTGAGTTTCACAAACATAAAATAAAGAAATAATTAATTATGAATGAAACTGACGCACTCTTCATTAACATATTTTTATAAGAAGATTTACGTTTTAATGTCATAAAAGACATAAATATAAGTGAATTGAAATATTTGTAAAAAAATTCTTTTATTTCAACAAAATATAAACTATGTTTAACTTTGTTTGATTAAAAAAAATTTTTAATTCCAAATTTATTATTTCAGTTTAACTCGCCCGCAACAACTGACTTTTAAAACTAAAAAAGCTTTTAATAATTGTGTTTATATTAGGGATTTTAACTTTATATAATTGCTTTCTCTTCTTGATGAAAGTTATCCAAAAATCCATTTTAATCTAAATTGTAAATTTATTTTAGCACATGCTATAGAATACGTATGCAACTATTGCCCCATATGCAACTATTGTAATATATGCAAGTATTGTAACGAATAATAGCTCAGAAGGAAAAATAATTCTTTAAAAAATTTTAAAACCTTACAAAGACTAAGAAAAGTTCGTAACGGTAAAATTTGCCGTGCTTCTGGCTGTGTGGAAACACTAAAAAGCTTGGTAGTTTTTATTGAAGCGCTTTGGTAATGATTTTGATAAAATTAATGATAAAATTTGGTTTTACATAATGTGGTAAAATTTATCAAACTTGATAAAATTTAGTAATTTCATTATGATACTGTAGAGAATTGCAAAAAGACCATTTATTTGGTTAAATTTATTTTGTAGTTTGGTATTTTCGACTAAATATGTGGTAATGAGAACTTTAATTTTGAAAACTAAAATTTAGGGCAAACCGTTACCATAGGAACGGAAAAATTACCTAATGAATGGTTTAAATACCATAACTTTTCGCTTTATTTACCATATTTTTTTAAATTTTTTTTTTTGCCAGAAATGTCACTATTTTGCAAACGATGATTTTATCAGAAGACATGTAACTAACTATAGCTTGTTTTTTGTCACTTGGTTGTGATTTTATCAATTTTATCGGTAAATTCTGTCATTATTATTGATTTTAATTTAAATTGATATTTCGCGGCATTGCAAAAATGTTTGATGTTAATTATTCAATTTTGAAAATCTAAAAAGTTTAGAAGTTAATAACCTTTTTTAGGTTTATTGTAATAGTTCATACTCTTAAAGAAGGTCATTATTTTTAAAAAATATGTATAGAGAGAAATGCTTTTTAACAGAAACGAATGCTCTACGTCAACATAAATAATTTTTTTATACATTGGCTATACAAAATATGTACATTCAGTTATTTAAAAGTCTTTAAATTCTTCTTATAGTTGTTAAATAATGATAAATGCAAAAATGCCAAATGTTAGCATTATCGTTATTTTGAAACTTTAACTTAATTTATAAACTAGAAAAACACTGAAAAATGTTTTGACGTATATTTGAAACTATGTTTGGTGTTGAGATAAACTAAATACATTTTTAAGTTCAGAACTGCAGTTATCGGATAATAAAAAAAGAAGATAAAATTATGGAAATAATTTTTGTGTCAAAGCAATAGTGCAATTATATTAATAAAAATGCTTTTCTTCTTCTTTTTTTTTTAACGAAAGGAAACAATAAATTAATTCCAATGAGCATTGAAATATGAGTTGTCAGTAAATAAACGAACATTAAATAAATAAAGTTATAACAGTGAAAAAGTAAATTGAAAAAATGTGACTAAATACCCAGTAAAAACTTTTAGTTTACCTAAACACCTTTTCCGGTGGCAACTATTCACCAAATTTTATTTACAGTATGTTAGAAAAATATGCCAGTTCATTAAAAATATAAATTTTCGTTAGCCCAAACAATTCTATTTCTTGCAACATAAGTAATTATGTACAAACACGTTCAAGATTTTACTTAGAATGGAAAATAAAGCTATTAAAATACATACAATAACAATTATAAACTAAATTAAAACTAAATTTCTTAAACAAAATTTTCCTCTAAATTAATTAATTACAAATTATTTAATTAATAAATTTTTTTTATTAATTTAGAATTAATCGCTAAACATTTTGAAAATTAAATTTTGAAGCGTTCACATATCTCAAAACGAGTTTTTAGAAGTGTTATTACTTTGTTTTTATAATTATATTCGTCAATTTATAGATATGCTTGATCTAGATGCATAATTGTTGTTTTATTTTCTACCATTTTTAAGCTACAAAATAATAACTAACAAATTATTTTTGATTGTGTTTCTTTATATATTGTAACTCTTACTTGGATAGTAATCCTGTATTATATTCTTTTTTTCCGTTACATTCGTACGAATGACATCCGCATCATCACTGTATTCCACAAGAAAGGTAAAAACTATAATTAGAGCAATTTCAAGCAATAAAACAGTAAAGCCAAATTTGCAGCTTTGCCAATTCATAATTTTAACTTTATTAAGTATGTTCTGTTAAATCAAAATTGACTAATTATTAGAAATAAAAATTTGTTGTGACTTTGTTTATGAATTGTAACAGAATATAATTCCAAAATTTAGCAAAATGTTTTAAATGAATCAACATTTAGAAGAATTCTGATTATTTCGAAATTATCTCTTTTCTTTTTTCTTTTCTTCTCCATTTACTGTTTCCTGTTCTTTTAGATCTCATTCTCTTTTTTTTTCTAAAACGTTGAAAGGCGAGTAACTGAATGACAAGTAAAAAGTGGGTGGAGCTGAAATTTGATTGGAGGAGATTTACTTATTTATCTCCTATTGAAAACTATTGCATTAAACATAAAAAAAGAATAAGTTTCCTTTTTGTTGTAAAAAATATATCGTATATTTTTAGATGGCTATGATCTTTTTCCGATGACTGAAACCTTCCATGAAGGGGCATAATCTGATTTTCCATACATAATTCTTAAATTACTGAATGCATTTGCACTACTTTTTATTGCATAAGTAAGGCCTTCTCAATAACAGGGTACTTATAGAGTTTCCGCGAGGGTCATAATTTCTGAAGAAGGCACATAATCAGACTTCCCATTCATAATTTGTAAATTACTGAATGCATTTGTACTATTTTTCATTGTTTAAGTCTCACAATCCTTCTTAATAATAGTGTACGTATAAAATTTCGAAGGTCTTAACTTCCGATGAAGGGTATAATCAGTCTTCCCATTCATAATGTGTAAATTACGGAATGCATTTGTAATATTTTTCATTGTTTAAGTCTCATAATCCTTCTTAATAACTGTGTACGTATAGATTTCGAGGGTTATAACTTCTGATGAGGAGTATAATCAGATTTCTAGTTCATAATTTGTAAATTGTTGAATGCATTTGTACTATTTTTCGCTGCATAAATTTTATAAGTAAGGTTGAACTCCGACCCACCCCAGGGGGGTATACGGAGATAAAAGTAAAATTATTACAATAAAATTTCTCTAAAAACTAAAGTTACAGTAAAATTTCGCCAAATGACAGTGGTGGTGATCAGTTAAAAGTGGATTAACAATAAAGTTTGACAATTAAAAACATGTGTTAAAGGCAATGAAACCCAATAGCGCCGGTGTAAATGTCGAGAATTAAATGATTATAATAATAAGGAAACAAGAGATAAAAAATCTCAAAACTAAAACCAATGAAAGCTAAAAGTCCAAATAGTAAATGTCTAAAAGTAAAAGTCTGACTAGAAGTCTATGAAGTCTAAAATCAAAAGTAGATAAAAATTCAAAATGTAAGGCTAAAAGTTGATTAGTAAAAATTAACGATGACACGCTCTATTGTTGGTTCATGACTGGTGCCAGTTGATCTGGGGCTAGAATGTCCTCGAGGGTTTGTTTAATAATTTGAGTCACAATTTTCCTGCAGGTCAATATAGCGAAGAATTGATGTTCCTCTTCGCAATTATTCATGTGGGTTCCACGAAGTGCCCGGAATCTTGGACAGTGCTTAAGTAGATGATCAATGTCCTGTCTCACTCCACAGTAAATGCATGAAGCTGATTTTTTTGCATAAATTTTATAATCCTTCTCAATAGCTGGGTACGTATAGTGTTTCCAGAGGGTCGAACTCGATTTTCGAAAAGGGGCGTAATCAGACTTTCCGTTCGTAGCTTGAAATTTGCTAAATGCATTTGTACTATTTTGCATTGTTTAAGTCTTATAATCCTTCTAAATAACGGGGTACATATATAATTTTGAAGGTCATAACTTCCGATGAAGGGTATAATCAGATTTCTAGTTCATAATTTCTAAATAATATCCATATATAATTTTGAAGGTCATAACTTACGAAGGGTATAATCAGATTTCTAGTTCAAAACTTCTAAATAATATCCATGTATAATTTTGAAGGTTATAACTTCCAATGAAGGGCATAATCAGATTTCTAGTTCAAAATTTCTAAATAATATCCATATATAATTTTGAAGGTCATAACTTCCGATGAAGGGTATAATCAGATTTCTAGTTCATAATTTCTAAATTGTTGAATACATTTGTACTATTTTTCATTGTATGTACTTTTTATAATTCTTCTCAATAACAGGGTAACTATATAGAGTTTCCCTGAGGGTAATAATTTCTGAAGAAGGGACATAATCAGTCTTCCCTTTCATAATGTGTAAATTACTGAATGCATTTGCACTATTTTTTTCTTGTTTAAGTCTTATAATCCTTCTTAACAACAGGGGATAAACAGAGTTGATGGTATATTATAATCGCTAAATAAGGTTCTTAATAATTTAAATTTATTTATAGTTCTATGAACAAATTGAATAGATATATCTTTTTTTACATAAGTTGATCATTTCATAATGAAACACTTTTTATTGTATAGTAAATTTCCACTAAATAAATTTTAACCCAAATAAAAGTAAAACATCAAACATTTTTTGCGTCATCATCATAAATGAAAACAGTTTTGAAAACGTTAATAAAAATAAAATTTTAAGTTTAAGAATATTTTTCGCTGGAGCAAATAGTCCTAGCTAGGTCACTGATCTAATACTGTAAATTGTAAATACTTTTTTCGCTAGCACAAAAAAGAAAAAAAATAATTGAAAAGATCAATGCAAATACAAATATAAATTATGAAAAGTTTTTGTAAACACTACTAGTGGGATGGTCATTGCGTAATAACTGTAATGTGTAAACAGTTTTTTAGCTAGCATAAAAAAAAACTAGGTGAGGACAAAAAAATATTAGCAGAAATAGTAAAAAAAATTGCCAGCACAAGTAGTCCTGTTTGTTATCGAACAAGAAATATAGAATGAAAAGATTTTTTAACAGTACAAAAAGTTTTGAAAAGATTTTATACAACTACAGATGTAAGTTGCCCTGATTTTTTTTCTTGCCATTAACATTTAAGACGACTGTAATAACTCATCGGAATAAATAAGCGAATAAAAATTCAATAAAAGAATAAAAAAATAAGTAAAATTAAAAACATTATTATAAAGTATTTTTTTGTTTTTTGAAAACATAAAGTGACTGCGTGGATATTTTCTTTTTCATAATTGATTTTTTCAGGCTCTATCAGACCACACTATCTTCACACTTTAGCCTAAAAATGATATATTTGCTTAACGATTGACACCTTTAGAATGAACCAAACACGAAAAGAATAAAAAGCAAGAATGAAATATCACGAATCAATCATTACAAGCTTAATCATAGCTTTTCATGTTAGGTATAATATTAATTCCTATCACGAAAATCAATTTACATCTACTGTAAATGATAATAGCCGCATTTATAGCATTTCTGAATCGATATTCGTTTTGGTTTTAATATTTGATACAAAATCAGGAACATTTCTGTTAAGCAAACAGCAGCCTTGCAACCATCTGATACATTTAACTTTTATGGTGGGCATTGTTCGAAATTTTCGCATATCCGTTACGGAGATATAAATGGAAACAACATTAACGAACGGCGGAAAATCTCATGTCTAATGGACGTCCATTTCCGGACAATGATGTTCAGGTAATGGGTGGAATATAATAAGCAGGAAACTTCTTAAAGTTGGCATTAACCTGAAATTAAATTTGAAGAGATTTGTATTCTTTAGAAAGAAAACATATTTATGACTGTATGGATGATTTAATTATTGTTTAAATTGTCATTGGTTTTTGCTAAAGTAAATAATTCTTACTAGTTTAATTAGTGAAACAGTTGCATAGAAGCTATTTTTTTTATTCGTTTTGTAAGTAGAATAAGCTATAAATGTAATTTTTAAAATTTTTTTAACTCGAATTTCATATGAATAAGCAAGATAATACTTACATTGAGGGCGTTTCTCTCACTTTTGACAATTCAGAAACTCTTAGGCTGTGTTTTGTTGATTTTGAGAATCATTTCGCCACGAAATCACGTTATTTATGACAAAACGCGAATTCTCAAAAACCTGACGAAAATGTTTTCTCAACTCGAAACCACAATGTAGTGCATTGTGGGGGATTATTAACTAGAATGTCGACAATAGAATGAATACTAGAAAATCGAAAATAGAGTGACGAAACAAGCCGACCGCGTGCATGGTGATCAAGGAGTCGGCATCGTACAAGGAAGATCCCGGATTCGAATCCCGCTACGGGCATGTATGTAATTTATCTATCCGTTCTTCTTGTGTTGTTTGGTGATATTGATCCACCTCTGTTGTGCCCACGATAAAGTTAAATACATTACGCGCTATAAGTTTTTTTCTTTTTTGGAAGAACAGAATGACGAATAATGAATTTTGACAAAATTCATTTCTTCGAAAAAGACTACTATAATTATTTCGTCTATTTGACAAAACCTTTTCTCAGACCACATACCAGGAAACGATTTTGTCAAAAACGAAGAAAGTTTCCTGAAATTTGAACATCCATCTTCTGGAGTGCATGAATTTTTTTTACATATCTATCAAAGCACTTAAGCAGGCTTTCTTTTCATTGGAAGCTGAAGAAAGTAAAATGCATCTTGCTATCAATCAAAAACAAAAACAAATATATGTCATGAGCCAATTTGTTTATTTTTAAATTCCAAACATTTTGTTTTCATTTTTTTTATTATATCTCCAATTATCTCATAAAACATCAAATTTTTATACAGCAAGAATTTTTCATTTTTAAATAATATTTGTCTCAACATTTCGTGGGCTAAAATTAAAGAATATATAATTTGGCTACTGAATTTCTACGATCCTTAAAACAGGATTTTATAATAAAATGAATGCAAACACAAATAAACCTCCGAGAAAAAAATGCACTTCAGAAAAATAGTACCGTAATGTTAGTTAAAGTGCAAAAACTGCGTAGAAATACTTTGTTCAAATCTTTTCTTTTTAAATTTAAAATTTTAACTTTTGGCTTACTAGTTTTATTTAAAAATTAATTGCGAATTCAAAAAGATATTGTAAATAAGAAATCCTTGTATTATTGAAGGATATATTAAATTTTATTTTTGACGATCAAGCTTAATATTTATTGAAGTATTGAATAAAAGAATAAAAAGAAAATAGGAAAAAAATAGCAAGCTCTTTTTTTGTAAAAATAAACATTCTATGTTTCATAATTAATTTTCAATACTTTATCTATCTTAAATTCTAATTGACTGTGCAAAGCATTGTAAGAGTAAGCATGTGCTTAATTTGTAAGATTCAAAATACGATTCCGAGTTCCAGAAAAACATATTATCATTGATAAGTTTTTGAAATTAATGAGAATTCAAAAATACATAGTTTTAACAATTACTCTCAATTTTAATTTCAGTATGTGCGTTTTAAAAAAATATATGCATCAATTAAAACTGAATTTCTTATCTATCTTCCAAAAATAATTAATTTTTCTAGATACTTGTAAATACGAAGGAAATGTGTTTCCATATTAAATGAACTCGAGGTCGAAAAAGCATATTTATTTGTTTGTAATCAAAATTAATTTGGCTGACTTTCTGTAGCTACGATTTGTTACGAAACATTTGACCTCTAACCTATACGTCATGCTATATCCAAGTATCTAAATTCGTTTTTTTTTAAATTTTTTTTTATCATTAACAACTTACAATCAGATAAAGTATAAACTCAAATTTCATTTTCATGTTGGAAAGATTTGTCATAGCGTGTCCTTAATTCAAAAATTATTTTTGAATGTGAAATGATTATTGATTTGAGGCTTTTGCTGAATTTGTTTCCACTTAAGTATATTTATATTCAGAAACGATGGATTCACAGAATTTAAATTTATTTTAAAGGTAGGATTTTAGATTGCATTTTTTAAAATTAATGAGAAAATATATATTCAAATGGGAATCATTGTTGGCATTTAGCATTTTTCAATCCAGCAATTGTTTTACAAATTCAATTCAAAACTTTAAGACATTTTTATATTTTTCAATAGTTTATTATTTTAGAAAGAATAATATTAGGTGATTATATTATTCCATTAAAGCATTTATAAGTAGAAATTAATTCTTCAAGTTGAAGTCAATAATGAAAATATTGTTTTTGTTGCTTATTGTTTTTTTATTAGTTATAAATCATTAGTTATAAGTCATAAATCATTAATCAAGAATTCTTAAGCAATATAATTTTGCTTAACAATTATTGTTTAATAATCCGCATTAAAACTTATTTTTTCCTAATTTGTTTCTTTTTTTTTCTTTCTCTTTTCTTAGATTTTAATATTTTATGAAATTCCTTCGGCAATCGTTGACTGGAATTAGATAATTAGTTAAATGATTTAAACATTAGTTGAAATTAGAAATGTATTTAATTATAAATTTAAAAAGAATTAGAACTAAAAGGATTCAAACTGAAAAAATGAATTATATTAAAAGAGTTATTTTCCTTTCTATCTTTTATGGTAAGAATATTTTGTTGAAATCTCCATTCAACTGTTCGAATTTTAAATTTGCGTCTATATTCAATTTTTCTCTCTGTAAAACGATTAAATTCGCTTTGCCAGTGAAATAATATTTACGTTTTCTAAAACATGAAAAAAAAAACAAATAAATGACAGATAAATAAACAACGAAGCGTAAAAATTAAAGAATTAAAAAAGGTTTTGTTACACCTGAATGACTATTTCTAAAAAAAATTTTTGTTTACCAAACGAAAACAACAATAAAAAATGCAGTTAAAAAGAACAGCGTTGTCATGATTAAAAAAAAACAACCTTCACCATCTAAAAAGAGAATTCGGATGACATCGTCAAAGTAGTGTTGAATTAAAACAACACTAGGTAGAAATGAGTGACCCTGAATTAATATTTCTAAGATGACAGAATATCTTTATTAAGGAAATCCATGTCTTCAGTAATGATCATCCTAAACTAATTAACATTACCGCATCTCGTTAATCATAAACATTTCAACTTCATCAATTTGCAGCTTGATATCGAAATGAAATGCGTTTTATCTTTGATCATCAAAAGTAACAACAGTAAACCTCGAAAAAAAAAATCCAATTAATAAATTTTTTTTACAATTTATATAAAAAAAACTAATTTAACTGTTCTACAATCATAATATTTCTTATTTGACTTATTTTTAATTAACTTCTCAAATAATAACATAAATTCTTTAAAAACACTGTGCCAAATTATAAAACTCTAAATAATATTTATATCAGTATTTAAGTAAATATTTTAATACTAAAATAATAATAATAGTTTATTTAAGATTTTCATACTATTCTTTGCAATTTAATAAATTTATTAAGAACCTATCATTCAGAACAAATCTCTCTTACTTATGTGACAAAATGAGGAAATGAAAATGAAAAACGAATCACATATTTTTCTTTCGTAATCTCGAATCCTAATTTGAAGGAAATTCATTTATTCTCATAATGATTCCAGTATTTTTTATTAAGCCTGAATAAATAATAAGTAGTTTTTATTGGCCTAATAAGTTATCATAAAAACCAAAACCTAAATTTGTAGTAAGAAAACAAATTTAGATATTAGTTGTCTTCCAACTTTCTCTTGATAAACAGTTGAATTTATTTTGAGGTAAGGAAAATTTTTCATAACACCAAAATATTAATTACCGGCTCAGAACAATATAGTTGTTCATTATAATTATATTAATATAATTATTCCTGGATATAATTATTTATTAATATATTTATTTATTACGATAATTATTCACGAATACTCATTAACGCAATTTTTCATTAATATAATTAATTGTTTAATGTAATTAATTCATTAATACTATTATTTTTTTCTTCAGTTTACTTCATTGTTCTGTTTTGCACCTCTGCAAACTACAAATGTATTCATTTTATTCATAAACGTTTGAAATAGTTTGTATGATACCAGATTAACAAAAGATATATTTTGATGCTTAAAATATATTATGAATGAAAAAAGTATGAAAGAAAGTATGGTCGAAAGTATGGTCACTGAGAAAAAAAGTATGGTCAAAACTACTGAAATATGGTAAAAATTTTATCGTGATTCTGGCTCTATGGAAACGCTAAAAAACTCGGCAATTTTTTGCCGAAGCGCTTTGGTGAATAATTTGGGGAAATTAACATAAGGTATGGTTTTATATTATGTGTATAAAATTTGACGAAACTTAATAAAATTTGGTAATTTTATCAAAATGCTTTTAGAGTATGGCATAAAAACTAGTTACTCGGTTAAATTTTATTTTCTGTTTTAATTTTTTATTAAATGAGTTGAAATTAGAATTTAAAGTTTGAAAACTAGACTTTATGTAAAAATTTTACCATATGAATGGTAAAATTGCTAATTGAATGGTTTTTAAATACCAGATATTTTAGTTTTTATTAAAAGACGTATGTTTTTTTTTTTTTTAATTTTTTTTTATCTGAATTGTCATCACTATACAGTGTGGAAATTTTACTAGAATTTTTTTTCCTTGTTGAAAAATATGTTTTATTCAATTAAGTTTTAAATAATTTTTACGAAAACTCTTCAATTGGAGTGTATTAAACTGTAATTATTCGGTTAAATTTAGTTTTCAGCTTTTTATATCTTACTAAACTTGAGAAATTTGAAAAACAGAATTTTTGGCAAACTGTTACCATATGAACGGAAAAATTACCAAATGAATAGTCAAATACCAGATATTTTGATTTTTATTACCAAAAGTATGCCACTTTTTTATTTATTATTTTAAAAAAAAGTATCATTGCTATACAGTATGGTAATTTTAGGAGAATTGTTTTCTCCTTGTAGAAAAGTTTGCTTCATTTGATTAATTTTTAAATATTTTAAGCGGAAACCTTTCAATTTGAGTACATTAAACTCGAATTAAATAATTTAAATGTAAAAACTGCGCATGCTGCATTATTGAAAAGAATTGTTTCGACAATAAAACCGACAAATAACTTACAACTAGTTACTAAGTTTTTTGAGGTTTCCTTTCTTCTGTATGAAAAATTATTAAAACCAAGGACTGTACAATTTTGGAGCCCAAAAATGCAGCTTTGTAGTTGCTTTTTAAGTATTATAAATAAACAAGGCTTTCCACTTTCAGAAAATTGTGACTTTTCTTTACATTTTGCATCATTTTTCTCATTCACATGAATTGAGCCGGCTTAACCTGATCATCATTAATAACTGTTAAAAAACTGAAGTATTGAAAACAGCGCTTCAGCCACCTGCTTTTTATAACAATTACTTCACCCTTGATTGAAATCTAGTTAATTCAATCCATCCTTGATCAAATTTATCTAATCTAATTATCTAGTAAAACCCATCTAATTTATCTAATCTAAATCTATGAGGTGTAAAAAGAATCCATCCTAACTTTTTTCACCCGTCATTACATTGAAAACTGCTGATGATATTTTAAGGACACTCCAGAAATGCATTCATAATAAAAAATAAGCAAGGAACTTAAATTTCATTTCTTTCAACTGGTATTTTTTTTAATTTATCATTTTTCTCTCGATGCCAATGATTTAAAATATTTATTGTTTACTTTTTAGTGGAGAATATGTTTACATGTCTTTCGGTAGGATTTTATGAGAATTATCGGAAGACATGTTTTGAAGTTTCGATTTCGAGATTTTTTGGTATCTTATCCGCGATAAGAGATATAACAAGATATTTCGGAAATACATATTTTAAGTTGCAAATTGCAATCTGAAAGAGACGAAAAGCGATGATTTTGAGGAGGAGAAAAAGAATTTAGAGCGATGCTGCTAAATGGAGTGGGGTCAATACGGAGGCACAAGGCGATGAGTTTGTAAAGGAAGGGGTAGTGAAGTTTTTGTAGCCGCAGCGAGTGTGTGTGAACCACGGCGAGTTTGTGAAGGCTGACAAGTTGGCTTCCAGTATGTATAGATAAACCTATAAGGTGAATTATTCATTCTGAAATATTATGAGCCTATTAACATTTTACAATTGGTAGAATTCAGCAAAAATTAGCTTTTTGATTTTTCTGCTTCATTTTCTTGATAAATTTATATTTTCTTGCACATATTTCAAAGAAATTTTTTTTACAAGCATATATGAAATATTTAAAAACGTAGGACAGTTTAAGGAAATTTCTATTGACAAATTTTATAAAATTGTGTGAAGTATGCTAATTTTATCAAATAAGATAAACTTACTGAACAAAATTATTTTTTAGCATAACTCTTGATCATTATTATTATTATGTGAGGATTCGATAGATGTTCTATAGATATTTTTTTTAAAAATCAATTAAAAATTCTTTTGTCTAATATAATTTTCTATAATAATAATTATTATTTTTCGCTTCATATTCACGCATATGTTAAAAAAGATATTTTATAACACAATCAGAATGCCTGTTCTAGAATTTTTAAACAATGTTTGCACAGTAAAAGAGTTAAATATTTCAAGTTGCTGGATTTTAATAATATTTGTTAAGCCTAATATTGTTCTGAGATTCCTTAGAACAAATTTTATGTTTGAATACAAAAGAAAGAATCATGTAAATAATAAAAAATATATTCAAGACTATGTAATGAACAAAAAATATATTCTATGTAAATAAAAATATATGTTCTGGTCAAGAATCAAATTAATGCTTCAACCCAGGTAACAGGTCCAAAACAAAGAATATACATTGTCCAGATGGTATAATAAAACTCTTAAATACTCATATAATGGAGAAATGTTAATAAAACAATGTTAGAAAAATTCACGACCGCTTATTTTTGCCTTATATTAGAAAATTAATTAAAATCCAAATTAATGGAAATCTAATAATATATTTTTGAATGTCTGTTTTAACACAACCAGAAGAGTTTTTGTAAATTTCGAGTTATATGTAAAGAGACAACATAATTTTTATAGCCTAACCATAGGCACTATTACATTTGCCCTGAAATTAAGTAACAAAAGGAAACATTTTCTAGGTTTCTATTGATTTAAGGTTGAAGTAAGTAAGTGAACACGTTTTTCGGATATTGTATATTGAAAAAGAAAGCAGCTGTCTTTTTGCAATGACAATGAAATCAATAAACGATAAAGACATCGTTAAGACTAGTTATCCTCGTTTTCTGCGTTAAAAAATGGAGTAAATGAATCAATAAATCCATGAAAAAAATTTATTTCATTGTTTTATTTCTCGCATGATTTCATTAAATTCCCTATCATTATAAATAAATAATGTGTTTTTTAAATCTCCAAATGAAATAAATAAATGAAAACTGTTTTTACATTCAAATATTATGTAGGAATAATATTTTTTTTCGTCCGAAATAAGCTACTGATATTTTTAAATAATTTTTCTGAAAAATATGAGCAGATTTAAAAGATAGTTATGACTGCCAAATTATTAAATATCCTCAGTGGTTGACAAATCGTGGGTTAGAATCCTTCTGGTATTGGGCTGATCGCGAAAGGTTTTAATGGTTTTCTTCTTGTAATGCTGGTTCTTCTTCTTCTTCAGCACGACAGCCCCTAACAGGCCTTGGCTGCCTCAACCACGGCTGCCTCAACCACGCGTAGCCTCCAACGCCTCCTATCCATGGCGACTTTTTTCCTGTTGTTAATCTTTATTACTTCGAGATCTTTAGTAGTGTCATCCAGCCATCTAGTTGGAGGTCTTCCTCTGGTCCGAGATCCAGAAGGATTTTTAAAGGTGGCGATTCGTACTGCATTGTTTTCTGGATCTCTCCAGATATGGCCAAGCCATCTTAATCTATTGCTTCGGATGACCGGCATTATCTGTAGCTGTCCATATAGTCTACATAATTCAAAGTTGTATCTGATTCGCCAACAGCCTCTTTCCTGTACTGGACCAAAAATATTTCTAAGGATTTGTAATGCTGGTTAGTTCCATCAAAAGTCCTCCATTAAGGCTAGTTAGTCCCAATGCTTGATCCAGGAGTTCTCTTATCTTCTGGGTAGGTTTCAAAATTACAAAGCTATGGAGTTGCATATTGATAGTCATAATAAGCTTAGAAATGAACTGCTGTTCAACGCCAGGTATGAAATAAAATAAAATTTAAACATTATCATGTAGAAAGAGCGAATCCTGTCAGTTTATATATTTAAAAGTATGAAAAAATGTGAGGTACTATAGTTCAATGTGAACGAAAATTTTTAACAACAAATTGAAAAAAGATTGGTGGCATGTTTTTTAAATAAATTACGAAGATTAGTATGGCTCGACCTTGGTTATAGTATGGTTCATTATGGTAGAATACTTTTCAGTAATTTGAACTTCATTATGGTTCATTTTTATGACACAAATTCAAATCGAATGCATCTTGATAACTAAGTTTTAAAAATGCATTTAATTTATGAAGCAGTCAATATAGTAAAAATGTATTAATGATGTTGCATCCTTCTTTTAGGGTCTTGGAAAAACCAACTCAACTGCCGGAGTTAAATCACGTTCTTATCTAAACATGGCACTGAAAAAGAAATTCGCAATAACAGTATTGTTCCTGCAAATTTTATTTATAATACTTTTTGCTTTTTTCGTGGAATATGGACAACAAGTAGATGCCAATCAAGATAAATATCCAAAAGAAGAAAGAGTAGATCCAGATGCAAATGATTTTCACGCTATATATCCAAGTATGTCAATATAAAGAATTTTTCATTCTCAATGCACATCTCGTATCCCAAAAACGACCGTTGGTTTAAAAAATCAATTAAAGATAAACAGAAAGAGATAGAATGTGTACAATTTGTTGTGAGAAAATCAGGTATTTTATTATCCTTAAATTTCAAAACTTAGTTACAAAGATTATCAATAGTTGGCGTTGTGCGTTGAAGTATCAATAACGTTTTCTACTTCAGATCATTCCAACCCAAATACTTGTACTGACTAGGACGCCTAGTAATTTTGACCTCAGACTGCAGTTCATTGTTACTTCAAACAATGGTTGTTCTGAAAACATTGTTTTACAGTTTCCCTTTTAGCAACACCATCTGTTGACGAACTTTGAAACTAATTTTAAAATTTGGTAAGATCGTTGTGGGCTGTATGAACTATAAAATAACGTTTTCGACTTCAAATCATTCCAGCTTAAATACTTGTATGGACAAGGACGTCTAGTAATTTTGACCTCAGATTGCAGTACATTGTTAATTCAAAGGATGGTTGTTCTGAAAACAATTTTTTACAGTTTTTCCATTTAGCAACACCATCTGTTGACGAATTTCGAAACTAATATTAAAATTTGGTAGCAGTATAACTAGTTTCTTAAGCAAATCGAAACAGACTGTAATATAACAGATCGTTCAATACAGCTAAGAACTTATAGTTTGGTGAAGTTATTCTAACCGTGGAGGTTTGATCCATATGATAGATGATATTCGGTTTATGTCTTTTTAAAAGAAAAAAAAATTTTTTTTTTTCAGGTCAGAGATTCTATGTTTCAATTTATGAATTTAGTTTCAAATTATAAAATGAATTGTAAAAGCAACTCATGTCTTAATTTAAATCTGTTAGTTGGGAAACAACAAAACCGTACTCCTTCAATTTTCTTTCCTTATTTTTTTCAAATCGTTGGTTATTTTTGGGACACTGGTCATGGACTAAATAATTTCATAATCTCCTGAAATTCATAATTCATTCATTTCACAAAATAGTAATTTCTTTATTTATATTGATGTATACTTATTTCTTGTTATTTGTTCTCCTAATTTTTCATATTTAATTTGTTTTGGTCATTAATATTTAAAACAGGTTGGTTAATGGATAAATGATTTTTTTACTTATATGAAAAGCATGTCGTTGATATGTGAGGCAACTTATATTTTTAATAGCGAAATATGGAACCATTGAACTGTTTCTCTATCTGTAAGGTTGAGTGTCTCAACATTAAAATGCAACTTATATTTGTTGCATTCAAATTTGGGCTAATTATTTTAAAGTGTTTTAGAGTATCAAGATGTATATTCAGCTAATATTTGAAATAATAAAATCTTGCATCATCATTGGAATAATTTGTTTTCTTAAATATGTTTATGCAATTAAAACCTACAATCTTGAAACCTGAAATCATTGTTTTTGTACTTTGATGTTTCAATATGAAAAGCAATTAACACCTGCAATTGTAAAATATGGAATTATTATTTGTTGAAAAAATAGTTTTTTGTGTTTTAGTGTTTCACGTGTAAATTCAAACTGAGTTTGGGATAATCATTTCTTAATTGTTAATATTAGCAATAGTTAACTATGGGATCATCATTAGTTTGTTGCTTAACTAGTAAATGAAACTAATATTTGCAATAGTAAAATCTGAGATCATTAATCGTAAACATGTAAATGAAACTAACATTTGCACTAGTGAAATCTGAGATCATCAATCGTAAACATGTAAATGAAACTAATATTTGCACTAGTGATATCTGAGATCATCAATCGTAAACATGTAAATGAAACTAATATTTACACTAGTGATATCTGAGATCATCAATCGTAAATATGTAAATGAAACTAATATTTGCACTAGTGATATCTGAGATCATCAATCGTAAACATGTAAATGAAACTAATATTTACACTAGTGATATCTGAGATCATCAATCGTAAACATGTAAGTGAAACTAACATTTGCACTAGTGATATCTGCGATCATCAATCGTAAACATGTAAATGAAACTAGTGTTTGCACTAGTGATATCTGAGATCATCAATCGTAAACATGTAAATGAAACTAATGTTTACACTAGTGATATCTGAGATCATCAATCGTAAACATGTAAATGAAACTAATATTTGCAAAAATGAAATTTGGGTTCGCCATTTGTTTAAAAAATATTCTTTTATTTTTTAGTGTTTCAACATGTTAATGTAGTAATATTTGTTGGTGTGGGCTTTTTATATACATTTCTGAAAAAGTACAGTTTTATGGGAGTTGGAATGAATATGTTGTTAGCTGCTCTATCTATACAATGGTCTATCTTCACGCACAATTGTTGGTCAGCAACTGAAGGAAAAATTCACATTGACATTAGGAGGTAGTAAAATCCATTTGTTTTTTCAAATAATTTCGAAGTTTTTTTACAATTTTATTCTTGCATTTTTTATCGCATTATTTCATTTTTTATTGATCGTTGATCAATCATTTAAACTATAGTTCGCTGCTACTCATATTTTGAAACACTATTTCTTTAAAAAGGTTTTACGTTTTTTAGCAATTAAGTATTGAACACTCGCTTACGTTCTGTTTACTCACTATTTTTTTAAGTTATTTGGATTAAAAAACATCTTAAGATTAAATTTTTCTTTATTACTACACCTTTTAGGGATAAGCAACTTAAAGATTTAAAACTATTTATTTGGAGACAATTTATTATTAATTTATGAACTTAAAAATCCATAAATTAATAATAATGCATCTAACATTATTTAATATTATGTATTGTTATGACAGTGTTAAATATTTAAATCAGTTTTTGATAAACCTATTTTTGTTACGTTAAGTTTAAAGCGTACTTATTTAAATCATATTTTATTATTAAAACATAACATGAGACACATCAGAATAGGAGTCGATTTAAGTAACAGCACAAGTAAACAAACTGTTCAACCTAAAATGTGCAGTATACTCTCATTGAGATTTGAAGACAATACAAGTAATAAACTACGTATAAAAAATGAGATTAGCATTATAAAAACTTATTTATTGCAGTCAATGACACTGTTATGATAAAATAAATTTAGAATAAAATTATTTTCTTGACGTTATGTCGAAAATCAGAATGCAGAACGTTCCATTTAAATTTTGAAAAAAGTATTCAAATTATTAGTTTAAAATTAATATTCGAAAAAAGAAAAAATTATCGAAGCATCAATTATTAGAATCATCAATTATCAACCATCAAAAAATTATCAAAACGAAATTTAAGGAGTCACTATAGATAAAGGCAGGAATCAAAACATCAAGGCCTATTTGATTGCCGAAGAAAACAGAATATAGTTGAAGCGCAATTATTATAAACAATTCTAAATTTTATCAAACAGTTAACCTAGTTTTTCTTAACCGGGTCGTCGTTTCATAGGTGTTGTTGTGATGTAATCGATTATGTTCTTCATTTGTGATTCCTTATTTTGATAACTTTCATCACTTTATTTGATAACTTTCATCAATTTGAGACCCTAGTGTGTAGACATTTTTATTTAATTTTTGACTAAGATTCTAAAGATAATATACATATTAAGGGTCAGTTATCATGGATCACTCTCCATAAAAAAATAAGAATAATAGGGTTAAACATATTTAACAACTCATGTAAATAAATTGTTAAATCCAGAAAAGGAAAGAAAAAAAATCATTCTTAGTGAAATCAGTAAATGCTTAAATACCCATAAAATATGTGATAACTTTAAACTGATGATAAACTAATTTCGTCTAATGCTTTATTTTTCGCAATGTGACATTTTATATTTTTTCAGAGTCTTATAATTTTTATATTTTCATAGAAGCAGCTAAATAAAAATCTTTACCTCTAAATCATTTATAACTAACTAAAATATTAACTTATTTACATTTACTAAGAGTTATAATTATTAACAATCTATTGTATGTTTATTAATAGCATCATATGGGCTGAATTTGCTGCTGCAAGTGCAGTTATATCACTTGGAGGAATATTTGGAAAAGCGAATCCCTTGCAGATGGTAGCTTTTACAATGATCGAAACATTTTTATACACTACAAATGAATATTTTGTTGTCCACCATATGAAGGTAAGAATTGCAGTAGTATCTATTCAATAATATTAAAACGAAATTATAATAAAGTTTATTTTCTATTAAGTTGTAAGCAAACAGGTATTGATTTAACTCCATTTCTGCTGAACGGTGCAAATTAATATTTTTAACTGCTTCATAATGTGTGTCATATTCTTATAAAAGGTAAAAATAGTGTCATTACTCTTTGTTATTTTTATATTTAAGTTTGAATTAAAGTATGGAAAAAGTGTTTGTACCTAAGAGTTTCAGTTCAACATTCATAAAAAGTGATGAAAATTGTGCAAAAACGTAATTAGTACATGTAGCGAATTTAAATTGTTCAAAAACTTTTGTTATTTATTGTGTTGATATTATATTTTATGTATATATTTACAAATTTACTAGCTTTTTTTGTTCCTGTATAAGAAAATTACGAAGTAGTAAAAAAAAAACTACTTTGAGAGATTACATTCTTCGAGTTTAGATGACTGTTATTATGTTCGTAATGCGAATTTTTCATGCACCGAATATTTTTCTAAAAAAAGAAGCACTTCCCTCTTGAAAATAGAAACAAATTGATTTCGTTATTTATATTATTATTATGTGTTATATATTGTTATGTGTTTCATTTCAAATCTGTCTCAAAGCATGAGCGTCGCATGGGTCTAATGTTGAGGGAGACGAAAAGAAAATACCCAGTCATAATAACTCTCTAAATTACACATATTAGAAAATAAAATCTTATGGCTGCTAAATACTTGCGAAATGATAGATTATTTTTTACTTTGATGAATTTAATTCGATGATGATTCATTAAGTGTTTTTTATTTGTCTGAAATATTGCGGGGGGACATTTAGAGATTTCTAATTTTTGAGGGGGGCATATACCCACTGTCACCACCGCTAACGACGCCCATGTGTTGAAGCGTAATTTTATACTTTGAATCATGTATAAAATCAAGAATTACCGTTATGTTCTTAAAAATTAATTTTACTTTCATTCTTTTGAATTAATGGATTAGGTAACTGATCTAGGAGGTGCAGTCTCATTACATTTATTCGCTTCATTATTTGGCCTTGCAACAGCTTACACAATGGATAAAAAAACGAATGTACAAAATAATATAAATGAAGCATCAAGCTACAGCTCAGACATATCATGCATGCTTGGTACGTAAAAACAAATCCTTGGTAAAAACTTCTTTAAATATCGTTTGCTAACTCTGCCTTCATGTTTGCTGTAAGAAATATGTTGAAAATATCTTTTAAAAATTTGACAACTCCCAAACCATGCATCTGGTATAATTTGTAATTCAAAATGTTTTACAATTACGACTAAATTACATTCTGGTCATTGCAACTAAATGAATTAAAGTGAGAAATTGAAAAAAAATTTTTTTTTTTTGAGCAAACGATATTATTGTTTTGACGAATTAACACTATCGTTTGCTAGTTCGTGATTTTAAGCATTCCAGTCAAACAAAATTCTTGCACCGAACGTTTGGGCAAGAAATTATTCCATAATAATAATTGATAGAATGTGAAAGCTAACATGAAGACATATTTCTTACTAAAAATTATCAATGCAGAATTTTAATAATCCTTAATATTATTTGACAGCAACTTTAATGGTATTTAACTATTCATCGCTAAATGTTTGAATTAGTGAATTAGAATGACTTATATTCTATGATTTTTTCTTCAAGGGACGGTTTTACTTTGGTGTTTTTGGCCAAGTTTCAACGCGGCATTATCAGTGGGGGATGCTCAACACAGAGCTGTTATGAACACCTTCTTAGCTTTTACAGCCAGCTGTTTGGCCGCTTTTGCAATGACATCCTTAATGGACAAAAAAGCTAAGTTTACCATGGTAAGTTACTTTAATCCAGAATTGTTATCACAATTATATTTTTAATGAAACTTTTATTTTAGACAAAATTAGGTAATTCAGAGGCTCTTAAATATCATCAGAGAGGCAGTTGTTGAAGACTTCTATCATAAAGAACCAAAATTTATAAAAGTATTGGAAAGATTGTTACAAATAAAATTTTTGAGAAAAAAAATTTGCCAATTCATGAGAAATAAGAGTTCGCTTAAATTACCGAAAATTCACTGAAAATAAGGATAGCTTTACAAATGATAAAAAAGATGTTACCGAACATTAAGAAGCCATTAAAGAAATTTGAAAAAAAGGCATTTTTCTAAGTTTTTAAAAGCTTTCCTTAATTTTGAAGTCGCAACTAAAATTCGAAAAAAATTACTGCAAATTCCTGTTAGTTGCTAGCTTTGACAATATCCGAATATTAAACGAAGCACATATTTTCTGTTTGTACCCTAACTGTACGTCAACTTTTGAGAAATATTATCAACAAAAAATGTTAAGAAGTATTCTTCCTTTCTTGTAGAAAAAAAAATCATCAGACAACTAAGTTTGAATTTAGTAGTGCTGTAATGATAGTCAAACAAAAATTTATAAAGAAAAAAAAGAAGAAGAAGTCAAATACTATAAAAACATGAGAGTCAACTGGAATAATTTATCAGGAGTTTCATGTAAATTACAGAGTATTGAAAACAAAAAGTTTCTCTAAAAATACAGAAGAAAAAGAATTAGAGAAGATTCAATAATTTAACAGAAATAAAGTAAGTATTCCCGCTGTTTTTACATAAGACATTGAACCGTTTCCGGCTCTGAAACTCACTTAGCTCATTGTATTTTTTATTCTTATTTATAACCGGCGTTGAAAAGTGATCCAATTCTGAGTTAACGACTATCAATTTTCAACTCAGTAGCCTTGCAATTTTGAACCCAACCCAGTAGACAAGGGAATTCCTGGATTAAGCAGTGGGGCAAACTAACCTTCGCGAATGATTCTATGGAACTTATCCGCATTTGCGTTACATGGAGAGGAAAACCAAGAAAACATCTTTCGGTTAACCTGGCGACAAGGGATTCTGGTCGATAATCCGTATACTACTGAGGATATTCGTCAGTACTGAGATTGGTGTAAGCCGGGAGCAGAATTCCTATCAACTGGTAACTCCTGGAATTCAAGCCTGGGTCACCTCAATGGGAGACGAGCGTTCTATCTCCTGAGCCACCACGACTTTGTGCATTATAAGAGAGAGAAATCCTAACATAGAATAACAGAAAGTGCTAATCGATCAGGCATCATGCAGCTTTAACCATAGTAAATCGGAGACCGGCTACAGCCGTGAAAGCGAGGACTCTACCCACAACAACAAATGGGTGTTTATTTACCTATGGAATAAATAACATCACATTGGAATATCTGAAAGAAAATTTCTTCTAAGAAATGCGCAGGGACAAAACCAATATTTTCTGTAACACTGCAAGAGAAAAACTAGGTTATATGCATTCAAACAAGCACTTACAGAGTTTAAACAATGATTCATGTTGTTTTTTTTTCGTATCTTTTTCACAAAGTTATTTACACTGAAATCGATTAGTATCAGTTTTGAATGAAACAAATTTAACAAAAAATTTTTGTTTTATAGAGCCATATACAAAATGCAACTCTTGCAGGAGGCGTTGCTGTTGGAGCGACATGTGAACTGATGATACAACCATTTGGAGCTCTACTTATTGGATTGTTGGGTGGAAGCTTATGCGTTATAGGATTCCATTATATGGGGGTAAATAAATTAACTTATTGCAATTTTATATCAATGTTACTTAAATTGACAATCAAAATAACATAATACAATACATTGTTAGAATTTTCATTCTAAAATTATGGTAAAATAACCGGTAGCAGTCTGTTCATCCAATTAACCGTAAAGTTTATGGTAAAGAGCATATTTTACCTTCGCCGTTTTCAGACCTTTTACAATTAGTATGGTTAAAAAACCATGATTACTGATCTGTACGGTTTCTTAACAATTCACAACTAGCGTGGTTTCGAACCCCTAACAAAATTTACCTGGACATAGGAGATAGTTTAGCAGCCTTATGGTGCTGTCATCTATTCGTAAATGAGAGTATTCTTACAGTCTAGGTTTACAAATTGGGGAGTGCGGGACACTGGAAACTCATCGTGTGTTGAAGAAGGGAACGGAGGAAATCTTATGGTATGGTGGGGATTTCAAATCTGGAATAAGTTTTACTCTTAAAACTACAGATTTTTTTCAAAATGGCATTTTTAGTCCTTTTTTTTGCTTAAATAAGTTTTAAAATATTATAGATAACAGGGGGTCACGCAAATGCCGTTAGGGGAGTTTAGGCATTTCATCAGAATTTATACTACTTAGGAAGCCATGGTACAAGGTTAGGGGTGCTTACCTATTATGACCAGTTCAGAAGCACACGAAGAAACAGCTCATAATAGGGGAAGCTCCCCTAGTGGTGTAGGACGATTAATCCTAATGATGTGCCCTAACACCTTCAGAAGTTTGTCGCAACATTTACAGTGCCCCTGTTACATATAACGTTCTTAAACTTGTTCATTTTGACAAAAAATAGACTGAAAATGTTATTTAAAAAGAACAGATTGCAGATTTGAAATCAGGGATACAAAAGTATCTAGAGGCGTTAAAAGAATTTCATAAAATAAAACTTCATTTAAAAAAAAAATTCATATTAAGATCTGCAAAAAGAAATTGTTCCTTACTGTAATCAATGCCTTTATATTTTCAACATTTTTACTCTTTTTGATGCATCAAACGTGATTTTTGTGTTCTACTTGCAATGGATTGATACAGAATTCAAAAATCTCGATCAAAGTCAGACTTTAAATCAGAGTCGAAGAGATGATTACAAACTAACAAGACTTCGTTAAAATAGATCGAAAGACAACTTTATGAAAATGTCGGACTTCTCATATTTTGTCTATTTGTCGTAAGTTTTTTGAAACACACGTCACTTTACAAATGTTGCCGTTGTTTTAAAATGTATTTTCATGTAGTATTTCTTCAGTATTTTCCTTTCAGCCTGATAATTTTCAGGCTTATTACCATCACCAGATATAACTGTAAGCTAATTGAAAAATGTGAAAAAGAATTGTTAACTTAAGCTGAATTTTATCAGACTTCTTGCAATGACTGGAGCTTCCTGTTATACCAGAGCTTTGAAAAGAGAAATTTTATGCATTGAATCATGCAGACTAATTTTAATCAGCCAAAAAGCTTTTGCATTGGCTCATTTCAAACAGACTGAAATTGATCAGGTTAATAAGATTCCTTTTAGATTCATATAAATCAGAAGCTTATTGGAATAAGTCTAAAAACTGCAAGGCTGGTTAGAAAAATTGGAGTTTTTTTTCTCCAATCAGTAAGGCATTTTTCAAAAACAAAAAGCAGTTTACAATGAGCAGAATTTCCCAGTTAGTCTAGTTGACTCATAAATTCCGTAGGCAATCAATTGTTGTTGATTAACTGGGTTAACCTCAGGACGTTAAGGGTTAAAATGCAGAAGTTCAAAATGATTAATTCTCACCAGACATTATGAATGACATTAATTCGCACCAGAGCGGTTGCCAATAATGGGAAATTATACGGAATTAAATATTAAATAAAATCTTACGCCACTGACGATCTATTCTAAAATTATAGATTTGAATTTAGAAATATGATTTGATCTACAGAGTTTGAATGGGAAGAATTTAAATGTCTGGAAACGTGCCAAGAATTCCTTGCACTTATAAATAAATAACAATGACCCATACTTGTTTTGTACAAATGCCAACCTAATTATGCGTGTTCGTCTGGAGAAAAGAATGATAAAAATTACTTCTGATTTATGGAACTGGTGAAAAATGATGCCGAAATTATCTTTTCTTATCATTAGGCGAAAGATGCAATCAGAAATCTTTCGTCAAAAACAAAAAAGTTTTCTTATAAAAATTGGCCTTCAATGAAACCAAGAAATTTCTGATGACAGGAGAAGAGATAGACTTTTTCATGGGAACTCTATTCAAATGCCTATAAAATTTTATTACGAAATATAAAAATTAATAACAAAAGTAATCATATTTTATTTATAACTAGGAATGTAACGCTCCTCGCCAACTTCTGGAATAGTTTTAATAATTCTTTTCAGATCGCTTTGCAGCCTAAATACGTTCTGTCATTAAAGTTTTAACTTCGGTTTGTTTAAATCAAAGAATAAAACTTAAGATAAAATTTTAAACCTAATGAAGGAAAATTCTTACTCAAAAACGCATACTTAATTACTTCAAAACTAAGTTTATTTATATAGTACACAAAATAATAATTAAATTATTATTTATCGTCTAATACGACACATATGTCGAAATAGAAGTTGAGAATATTTTAATCAGCGAAATAATTTTATTGAGTATTTCAGAGCGATTAAATTTCCACTTGTTTTTAGTGTCTTTGAAGAATAAAAACATAGAGATGTGTGCTAGATTAAAAATAAGTTAACAAATAAATAGGAAAGGAAAGAGTTTTTGCAAAAAAATTTTTAGAAAGTAACACACGTCAATAAGTGTGCCAAGCTGGTTTTTTATTTTATTTTTACCAGAACGCATTTTGGAAGTTTTTTCGTAACATAAATTTAAGAGATTTTCACATTCTTTCTAATAAAATTCATCTTAATTATCATAAGGACAGATATTAATTTTAAATATTCCAATAAAAATTCAAACACTTGCTAGAGCTTCAAAATTACATTTCAAATTGCAACAATCAAATTAATTTCATCAAAACATTTTACAGCATTTAAAATGAAAAATGCGACTAAATAAATCAAACAAACATGACACATGCTGGTTCCCATCTATAAAAAATACAAAAAGTATATAATGTCTTAAAGAATTTTTAAAAGTAATTTATCTGTTTTACAACCGTTTTATTGGTATTGTTTATCATTATGTTAGGGGATACTTTTTAATAAGTCTTTTCGGAAATTTAAATCTACTTACTCATTCTATGCTCCAGAGTTAATTTAAATTCTTCTAAAGTTGAATATTATTTCCCATTTTAAGCTGTTGTTTTAATTGATCTTTATACATTTTAGAGTTCATACTTTCTTGAATCAATTCTAAATAAGTTTTTTCACTTGCAGAAATACCACCCAAACTCTTAACAACTCAAACTCTAACTGTTTTTAAACAACGGCTCGAATCAACGTCTTTTTCTCTTCATAAAATAGCCAGTCACCTACAATTTGCCCAAAAGGCATTTTTTTCATATTCATTGATTTTTCTATTTAATCAAGTTTTAAACGCAAATTTAGGTTACTTTTATCCTTCCAGAAATAATTAAATTTCATATAATTTTGTTCTACGCTGCACTTTCAAAACTAATGAGCAGACGATAAAAAAATTTTTTTTTTTTCTTGAAAATAAATTAAAACGATATTTTTAAAGAAAGAACATATGTGCTGAAAATTAGTAATATTTTGGAAATGTCAATGAAAATAATAGTGTCCTCATTTTTTGGGCCAAAATGTATGAACAAATATTTTAAAAATAATTAAATTAAATAATGAAGTATGAAAATAATTTTCTTCTCAAACATGTTATACCAGGCGATCGCTTAAATGAAAATGTACAAACGTTACATTTTCATGAATATTCTTATCACTTAGAATCTGCATTTGCTGCCTACTCTTTTAATAAGATTTTGAACAATATAATTCCAAACTACTTCATTGTGGCGGAACATTATATTTCGTATTATAAACAATACTTAAGGATTAAATATATGCCACGAATATAATTAACCGAAAAAGTAATTTTAAACGGAATTCCCAGATTAAGTATAAAATAAAAATAGCTCCTTCTTTTTCTTCAAATTGCTGATAAAATTTTTTGTTAATGAAATAAACAAGAATATTTATTCAGTATTCTTAAAATGACTGTCTTAATGAAAAATGTTACGCGTAAATTTAAATTTATAAAAATTAATAATCAATTAAAAATTTCGAGTAAATTTACGCGTTTTTTAATATAAGTAAGAGCTGTAGTAAGTATTAGTAATTAATCTAATACCGTATATTGCAACAATATTTTTGAGAAACACGATCTATATAATTTTATTTGTTCTTTCCGATTTCATGAAACTTTTTTTTTCCTTTAATGAAGTCTTAAGAACACACACAAAAAAAAGAATAATGTTTGCTTGTATGTGAAAAAATTAACGAGTTTTATTACAAATAGAAATACAATTCATAAGAAGTTAATGAAACATAAGTAAAAGGCCGACATCATATCAATCCATACAAGTATATCTTCAATATAGTCCTAAGAACACAAAATAATAGATAATGTTTGTTCGTATGTGAAAAAACAAACGAGTTTTATTACACTTAAAAATACAATTAATAGAAAGTTTACGAAAAATGTAAGGCGCCGACGTCATATCAATCTATATGCATATGTTTATATGTTTTTACGTATATGTTTTCTTTTACAGCCTTTTCTAAAACGAATAAATATAATGGACGCTTGTGCAATTAACAGTTTACATACATTACCTGGATTTTTGGCTGGACTTACGGGTATTTTTGCTGCATTAATAGGAACAGTTGATAATTATGGTCACAGGTAAGTTTTTTTAATAGTGTTTGTATTGAACTTCCTGTTTTTTTTTAAAATTTCTGTAACCGATAAAGGATACTTGCAATAAGTGCACTCTATAGAAAACTATAGTTAATGCATGGAATGTCTGATCCCTTATTGTTAAACATAAATACTGAATCAATTTCATACCTTCTCTAGGCATTCTATAAAATGATGGACATTCTATACGATGTCAAAAGTTAAATTGGTGATTTAAAGAAAGGATAAGGGGATATAACGTGCATTTTATTGAATATAAGCTAACTAGAAAAAGTATTAAGAATCTTTGTTAAGGATTTAATTTAGGCATTTTAAAGAATATATACTTCTCAGATAATATATATGTATAATGGCTGGAGAAAATTCATTTTATATTTTTCTGATTTGTTTTTTGGCATTTTGTAGAATGGCTACTTAAAATTTGAAATATGTAACGTAATATAAAGTTCCCAAATTTTATTTCTTACTGGTAAAAACAATAAAAAATAGATTATAAAACAGAATTAAAATTATCATAAAATCATGATTGGATATAAAATTTTTAAATTTAAAAACCTTTTTGATTGCGGAAGAAAAGTGAATGAAGTTAAAGAATATTATTAAAAACATAGGTACTGTATAATAAATAAATATAAAATAAATAAATAAATAAAATATAATAAATAAATAAAAAATAATAAATTAAAAAAAAATAAATAAATAAAAAATAAATATATACAAATTAAATAAATAAAAAAAATAATAAATAAATAAATGAAGATCATTTTGTTAATTAAAATATAGTTGTTATAATTTTATGTAAGAACATTTTGTAATATGTTAAGTCGTGACAAAATGAAAAATATTTCCTGTATTTGAAAAAATAATATATATATATATATATATATATATATATTAATATTACATAACACATCTAAAATAAAAATAGTTTTATTAATTTTTATAGATTTAAATAATTTAATTATAATTTGATTTAAATTATATCCTCTTTTTTCAATAAATATTTATTAATGATGCTAACTTTATCTGCTTTTCGCCGCTTTAAAAATATTTAATAATGGTGCAACCTTCCTCGCTTTTTAGTTCCCTTCAAAACACTTATTTTTGGTGCAACCTT